CACAGGTAATATTTACATTTGATTTTTAACAAAGTTAAGAAATTATGAATTTTTTTAATTTTGCATAACTTACTTTTGTCAAGCGCTAAAACAGCATTGATTACAGGATCAATGTCAAGCACAGCAAAAATCTTTGAGGTTAAGACAGCTCCCATACCTGTAAAACCATGCAAGTTTTATTCCATTTCCCCCTTTTTTTTGGTATAAATATTACATATTACCTTTTTTTTTTACATAAAGACGAGGCATGCGCTAAACTGGTCTGTTATTTTAAAACAGACGTGAAAAAAAAATTTGCTATATTTTGCATTCTTTAAATATATCATTAAAATTTTTGATACAATATATAATTTTTATTAAGCAAAATTTACCTGAGATGTCCCTTATTATGGCATTGGCCACAATCGTGTACATATCAATGGCAATATATCGAAATTGCTGAAAATAAATCATGACTACCTGTTAATAAATGAATTATGTCATATGAAGTCAAGGACATGCAGGGTAGTTACAAGCACGTAGTAAACTGGTAAGTATAATGAATATAGTATAATTACATATTTTTACATTGAACCTTTCAAACCAAACTCCAAACATCTATCTAATGGTCAAACTCCAAGTTTCCATCGAATGGCCAAGATGTATATAAAACAAATGTCTACATAGTAAATGTTAACCTATAAGTTTACAGAATTACCGATTGTATGTTTTTGGAGTAAGCATAGATGTCATCTAGATTGTCTGCAATATTGCCGTCAGCATAATCCAGAGCCACGGTAAAACGGCTGTTTGTGGCGTAAACGCAACCGGCAGAAGCTCTGAAGCCAGAAAAAAACACATTAACATGGGACATGCATGCCTCAAACAGCTCATTTGTTTTTTATTATAATATCTCTTTATTAACAACTGTATAGATATAATACCGGAGAAGTATATTACGTCATAAGAATGGCCAATAAAAACACAGCTTGAGCATATCCCATTCTTTTGCAATCTTCATTGTCGTCATATTCCTAAAATACAAGTTGAGCACATTAATTTTTGTTTCCTTTACCATTTTGATTGAAAAAATGACATGTACACTTTCACAGTATGATACACAAAAGGCAGCTATGCACAGGGAAAAAAAATCATGTTTGTGATCATCAAACTGGCTAAAGTACACAGAATAACAACTAGAATTCTCTCTCCCTCTCTCTCTCTCTCTCTCTCTCTCTCTCTCTCTCGTAAATGATAAAACTGCTTCTTAACATTAGTGGAAAGTATATACAGTCAAAAATATTCTATAAATATTTATATTTCAAAATTTTTATACAATTCATAATTAAGCTTTAAAATGAAAGTTACCGCCTTTAAGTCTCCACCGCAGTTACCACAGCAACGACAACAGCAAAAACAGCAGCCACACAGTGGTAAAAATACAACATACAGCAGCCCAATGACCACACAGATTCCAAAGCCCATGGCATAATTTATCAACTGAAATAGGCCAATCAAAATTTGCGATACAATTGGAACTGATTAGGGGGTGATCCGTTAAGGTGAATGCCACGATACGACAACTGTGTATGGAGATTGGTGTTCAAAACTATAAAGATGTAAAGGGGGCATATCTAAAACTCTCAAAACTAAACGATGAAAACTTAAATGTAAACTTGTTCCAGGCTTTCAATTGGATCATGACATAGTACATGTAACAGAATTAAGCTCAGATGTTTACTAGTAAGCTAACATTACCTCCATATACTGTCCGCCAATGTCAAATTCGCCATTCATAATCTTCTTTATCAGATCTGAAAAGATGACAGAATTTTCACTTGTGCTAATCTTAATGATAGTTTGGTACACTAAATTAAATCATTCAAATCTAGTATATTTCTCGCATTAACAAAATTTTACACAAGCTAATAGTCGTGTTCATATATATATATATATATATATATATATATATATATATATATATATATATATATATATATATATATATATATATATATATATATATATATATACTTTTTAAAAAAACATATGATAGATTAATTAATAATAAACTTATAAATGTTATTTATATCAAAGTCATCTTCAACACGAGCCATAGCTGTACGTTTCCATTTGGTAAGATAGGTGAAAAATCCTTCGTTTCAATGATATTGCTGCTTTTCTTAATTCTAATGCAAAATTCCTTTGTCGGGTATACGTAATTACGCTCAGTTTCTGAACGGTCTCGTTACGACGGAAGGGCTGTTTGAGAATATATATGTATTTGAATGTGACTTATCTTAAATTTTCACTTTTTAAATGCGAAAAAAAATGATTCCAAAGCAATTGGTAATATTAACAATACATATTTTTCTTTATATATATAAGACGTCGACGCTGTTAAATTTTTAAAACAACTAACTTGAAGATAAACTGTCATTAACAGTTTGTTTTAGAATTCATGCTGAATGATACTTACCAAAAGGAAACGGTTTTGATTGGATAGTGTCGATGAAACTCCTGGCAAATGCAAACAGGGTTCCCAAACCCCCATCATTATAGCTATTTGTTGTTTTATATTTCGTGCCCGCAGGCACGGACGCCCATAATATTGTGCCATTATCATAAGCTTCATTTCCGAAGTAATCGTTTATAGTGGCGGATCCAACAAAAACAGCGCTGATGGCAAGCAATGTCCCCACCACTATGAATACTCGGATCGCCATTTAGATTGTCACGTAGAACTTCTTTTGATAAATATGTCAGCCATTTCTTTCTTCCTGAGCTCCGATTTGGGTCTTGATCTTTAATCTCTGATTTATATGGCTCAGATTAGTGAATTTAAACACCCAATGTTTCACCGAGAGTCATGAAAAAAATTAAAAACTTAATCATCATTGCATTTAACATAGGTATTTAACCTATATAATCATTCAATCTAGGGCATTCTGTGGTTCAAAAAATAAACATCGTGGGTGGAAAATTTGGTTTCTTCTGCGATGCTCTAGATTAACATGTACAATTGATGAAGAAAATATTTCTAAAAAAAGTGCTTATTTTTTATCGAAAAGTCTCGCTTGATTTTTTTTTTAATGTTATATAATTGTAACATTCTTCGAAAAGTCTAGCTTGATTTTTTTTTTTTTAATTTTATATAATTGTAACATTCTTGACAAAACAAAATTAACATGCATCTGTTAACCTGAATAACGTTTTTTAATATTTCCTTATATTGTTTGCGTATATACATGTATATTGTTATACATTGTATTTAATACTTTTTTCCTTATATGAAATAAATGGCAAAATCTTTTATAAACATTGATGTATTTTTCTTTCAATCATGAACTTAAACATTTTAAACGGCCTAATTATTACTTTTATTTAAAAAAAAGGCGGTCGGGTTTCCAGATACAGGAATAAAAGTAAAAAGTTGTAAGTTCTGTTGTGAAAGTAAATTAATTCAATTATAAGTACATGTACAAGCTACGTCTCGCTTGAGCTGCTTCGATGCGACTCCTATATAAATAGCTGAATAGATTTAAATAAAATTACAGTTAACATTAAACTACATTCATATTTAGCGATTTTGATATTTTTACGACTAACCAGCAGTAACTATTTCCTTTGAATTTCATCGTATATTTTACACATTTTAAATCAACTGCAAATGGCTCAGGATTGCGTTATCCTATATCTACTGGAGTATATATAAATTATCCGCAGGAAGAGTAGTCCAGGAGAAATACAATGTAACACTGCATGTGTAGCGTATGATTTTAAATATTCTGAGAGTTGTTTGGAATTTGTAATTAAAAATGATTTCCAAATAGAACAAACTGCATTTTAACGCTGTAAGATTTCCTGTATGTCACCTATTGTCATGCAGCTTAATATTTTTGAGTTACTTTAAATTTCTTCTCTCAAATTTTTTTTTTTTAATTGATCTTTTTGGAGGCAGGAATCTTACACATAGAAATAAGGACGACAGTTACATGTAATCATAGTCAGACCCCCTCCCTCCCAACACACACACATTGCAAACACACTCCGATTTGAAGTCGTCGTGCTTAGATATGATATAGTTGATGTCTATTCCTAAATTCAACTTTTGGAAAAAAAACAAACAAACTTTTTTTTAATAAAACTAAATCAAGAAATTCAATCTATTTATTGACTAAAAATTAATGAACAAGATCAGATAACAGAATAAAGTAACAACATACATGTAACAACAAGGAATTATCAATAAATAAAATTTTCTGGTGTATTTCTAGTGTATAATTTTACGGCAAAAGTGAACTCCAACATTAAAATTAAACGTTTTAGTTCGAGGTATTCAGTTTTTCTTCATCTCTTGAATGTTTGGAATGCACGATTTTGCACATACTTGAAAGAAAGTTCGTCTTGAAGAAGTCCGTAGTTCTGTAGCTTCAGTTGTCAATTTATTCATTAATGTAATAAATAACAATTGTTTACATATTAACTATCTACATGATGAAGCATTGGCAATCTCAATTTGGACTTTATGAAGTAGAACAATATATTACACGTTTCAAGTTAAACATAATCTAATTAAAAGCAGATATTTTCTATCTGGAATTAAGTATTTTCAACAAAGATTGTTAAAGCAGAAGATAAGTTCACATCTAAAACATTGTTTTTATATTTAACCATGTCTTCAGTGCATTTTTAAGCATACTTTCAACAAAGATTGTTAAAGCAGAAGATAAGTTCCCGTCTACAATATTGTTTTCATATTTAACCATGTCTAAAGTACAGTACAACTAAAAACCTAATGTATCAATGAAATTTATTGATTAATTGATTTTTGAATAAAATAAATTAAAGATATTCTTTAGTTTGTATTTCCAAAAACCCCAAACCCTAAGGATCACTTTCTCTCGTTTTGCTGTGTTCATCATTCTGAATCTTTGTCCAAATCAGACTTGTTTCAAACTTGACACTGCAGTATATACATAATCACGATCTTCATCAATAGAAACCAACGGTTCTGATTATTAAAAATCGATGGACTTATGGTACTGATAGCCCGGTGGCTCAGGGTTCGGTTTGAAGGTCCTGAAAAACAGAAAATAAATAACTACTTTAGAAAGCGAACAGATCCCATTACAAGAGCAAGGACCATGGACCAAAAGATTCCTTTAAAACATAATGTTCTCACTAGTAATGCTGACTTAATAATCTAAAAAAATAAATAAAATGATTAACAAACACTACGGGAGGATGTTAGTCTTTAGAATCAATGACAATCAATGAATGCTACCTTTACTTTAAAAAAAAAATGATTTCCCCCTCCTTCTCTTTCACGTATTTTTCGTTTCCCTAACCCAGCGTATAAGCTTCAAAACATTCTTCATTTGACTGCAAGCATTCTTTTCTTTTTTTTTTTCATTATTCAAGTAGCTTATTCTGCCCCCCTTCTCCAAAACTTTAAATAAATTACTAATTCTTAACCCATCCTTCACTTTGTCATTAAGCAAAAATATTCAGACTTTTTAAAATTGATTAAAATTAAAATTGATCAAGGTTTTATTGACGTTTCTTATAAAATATAATCATTTCTAACAAGCAAGAATTGTCGATTTATTTACCAAATCTGTCTTTCCGTCAACCCACCTTAAATAAGAATTTGCTATAAATGACTATGTGGGTCTACGACAAAGATTTTAAAAAATACTAAGGCCAAAGTTTTTATTTTTTTTGGTTTACGATTTTCTGTCTCAAAAAAATGCATTGGGTGGTCGAAAAATAAAAATAAAAATAATTTAGGATTCAACAGTTTCATTTTAAAATACCAGCAATGTTTATTTTAATAAAAATAATACACGTCAATAGTACATATGTACTTCTAAGTTTTATTGTCTACATCACATAACTCTTTTTATTTAATTTTGATTCATTTCTAACTTTAAACTGAATGTCATTTTCATTTACATATAGTTCTGATTTTTGTTTGTCAATCAGTGCTGGGTTCATGATGTTCAACTTCTTTTTGTGCTCTTCAGTGATATGTGCTGTGTTATAAACCTCGCTATCCCCACAAACTAAAAATAAGGATCCAAATTTAAATTTAAATTAAATTTAAATTGAAGAAAAATACAATTTAATTGTTTAACAATATCAAAAGTAATTGACGTTGAAATAAAGGTTATAATAATTTGATCATGCAGCTATCAAATTTAATGTTCAACCTGCGGCACAAAAGCCTAATAATTTCTCAATCAAGTCCTTCTTTAAATTTTTGTTATGTACCTGCACAGTAGGCAATGCTCATTATTTACTTGGTAATTCAAAGGGCTTTGATCTCAATTGAGTATGAAATTTGCAAAGATTTGTATATTGAATTTACTTCTATAAATTAACAAATGTTTTATACACGTTTAAATTTATCCAGTGAAATACCAGTCAGCGTTGCTTCAACTAAGTTGTATCTCTCAACACTAAATTGGCCTAACTATTATCCATGGATTTATCAGCCTATTTTGGGAAACACCATTATTGGGGAATTGGGAATAAATTATTGGCTATTTGATGAAATTGGAAAAATTTTTTAAAATGTTACTTAAATCCTGTATTCAGGGGTAATTCATTTAACATTTCAGTATGAACTCTAATTTGGGCAACCAAACGACAAATAAATATGACCCATCTTCATCATACAAGATCAATTATGAATAATAGACTAATAAAAGTAAATTGGACTTCAATGAGTGTAAAGCATTTATACAACTTAGGGTTGTACATGTGTGTATGAGATTTCAATTTAGGTCATATAGTATCTGTTTCTGGAGATTATAAACCTCCTGCAAAAAATTATACTAAGTACACATTTTCTAAAAGTCCTCTTTTAGTATGTATTAATGCATTGAAAATATATTTTTCTATCTGAAATAATGCCTAAAGTCCTTACCATTCACTCGCAGATCAACTGACTAGGTGGAAATAACTTAATAAATCTATATAGTTACACAATATCATCATTTTTAGAAAAACGGAGGAAATTCGGATCAAAAGTTGGCGATGTTTTTACAGTGTTTTTAAACATGTTTTATGACTGTAGCTTTGCTAAATGAGTTAAAAAGATGAAAATTACAGACGGTCTGACAATTTTACTTTGTGTTTTTTCAAGATAATTAAAAATAAAAGCATTGTTCACCAATTGGCAAAAAATACTGCCAATTTGGCAAAAACTCAACTCATTTTCAATTGGGAATGGGGCCTAATTTCGGCCCTTGAGAAGGCACTGATTAATCCCTATTATCTATAGGTGTAACCGTGTCTGCTAGGTCGATCAGGGTTGGGCATACACTCTCCAACATTACGGTATGAATTTAGCCAATTGAGACATTGCAATTGGAGAAAGGGATCATGCATCCAAGATTTTATTCACTTTTCCATGCAGAAAATGTTCTTTAAGTGTGTGTCATTGCTTTCAGTGAGGAATTACCTTGTTATATGACAGAACCGCCATTTTTGGTCTGCACATATGTGTTTCACTCGGCACACCTCGGCCGATTCGTACCTCATCGAAGGTGACGGAATCAGCCGAGGTTTGCCGAATGATATGTGTTTATTTACGGTCATCTAAATGTTTGTAAAGGTCTCATATATTTATAAGCGCTTATTCGACTAAGATGCATTCTAAAATTTAAAACCCACCAGTTCAGCTGAGAAAAATCCGGGAAAATATGTCGGAAAAAGACATTATTTTTATTTTCATGATTGGTGAAAATTAGGGTCGGCGGAATCGTAAACCAAAAGTAAAAAAAACTTTGGCCCAATCAACAGACACTTAAATTAAAAGCTATTGACCAATTTCCACAGGAATTTTTTTGTGCTCAATCGTGTCTTATTTTGCAGATCCATCAACCTCAAAGAAATTGAATATAGCATAATAGCACATCTATCTTTGTTTTATCATACTGTTTAAAATTACGGAATCACAGAAATTAAAAAAACGCCCAATGAGCTAGTTTCAAATTAATCTTTAATATTATCAATGTGAAGAAAGTATCCTCATTTTTTTTTTTTAAATTTATTTATTTGAACCAAAATCGCTCACCGTCCATACTCATCATAAGTATCTTCATCATCGTCGTCGTCGTCGCCATATCCTTCACATTTATCCATCTTACGGTAATACTTAGAGAGCTTAACAGCAACAATGATGACTGGTACAAAGAAAAGAAGGGCCCAGCCAATCCCGAACCAAAATCCGTTCTGAAATTTTTAAATAATAAAAAAAAATTAACAGTGAATTATTATTGCTTCTACAGTTATTAATCAATGGGAAGGTTTCGTACAAGTAATTTCCTGACACCAAAAATTTCATTCCGAAATATCCATTATTTAACAATTGCAGAAAAAAGTATAAATACAGTGATTTAATATTATTGTATTTTTCTACACCTTTCGACTCGTTGTATATATATAATTTATATATTATTCTTTTTTTTGTGACTAAATGACCCAATAAAAGCCAACTTTATGAAATTGAAAACTTACTAATGCATCCATAGTGTATTTACAAAACATGGTCGTAAAGGAGTCGTAGAGGTTCCATAGGGGTAAGCAGGCAGCCAGGTCATTGTAAATCTAGAAAATTAAAATTAATTAATGTAAATGAAGTCTTGAATTATAACCAATTCTACATGAAAATATTGATTAATTTGCAGTAGGAAGAAATATTTTTGTATTTTTTTAAAACAAACAAACAAACAAACAAAAACAAAAAACTAACCAGATATCTAGTTCTATTTATGTAGGAATCTATGTATCCCAATATCTGATCTTTATATGTCGCGGCCACCTGGAGAAAAATATTTTTAAAAATATGTACATGGTATCATATTTTCAATCAAACGTCTGAGGTATATACGAGATACATAATTTCAAGAAGAAATTTCCAAAAAATGTACGAGTAAACTGAAGAAAATCATAAGGTGGATTATAAGATATTTAAGGAGTCAAAAGTATAAAGTATTCCCGTTCAGAAAGTTCAGTATGTTAATTGTATATATATATATATATATATATATATATATATATATATATATATATATATATATATATATATATATATATATATATATATATATATATATATATCTTTTATGAAGCGATAATAGAATTGTTATTCAAATTTCTAGACCTGCCATATTTAAAATCATATACTTGCCGATGTTAAAACGCTCGTTACGTTATTCTGCAGTTGGTCATCAGCGTTTCTAGCTGTTGTCATTACATTGTCGATTTTTGTCTAAAAATAAATTGCAAAATTCGTACAATTTATATGTGGTGTACTTGTAATTTCAGAAGAGGCTCACTGTTAAAAAAAATTGTATGGATACTTTAAAATTTTCCACAATAAAGTATTTCTAATTGATTCATTATTCTTACTGTGACTCCACTTAATGAACTTTCCAAAGATGCTACTGAAGTCTGAAGATTCGACTGAAAGAAAAGAATATAAAAATATGATTGTTATGTTTAGTCTAAGCTCTTTAAATTAGATTTCGCAAGATTGTGCTATTTTTGTATTATGATAATCTTCAAGGTTTAGATAGAAAAACTGGAGGTACTATGCCATTATCAAATACATTGATTTGATAAATTAAGATTATAAAGGTAACATTTTCTGTTTAAACCTGTGCCGTGACTAAAGCCGGGTAGGTTGTGTCTCGTATAGTTTCCATGTCCGTTATGTGTTGTGTCCAACCTGCCTGCAAATATCACAAAAATTCAAACGATGTTAAGTGTTTAACTCCTACCTAAAATCAACAGACCAGACTTTAAGTCAAATGAAAAATAAGGTAAGATATTGCACGTAATATTACTTACTGATGCGGGCCCGGTGCACAAGCTTTTAATTGTTTGCATGGCTGCTATCATTGAGTTGAAATCGATAGAACCAAAATCTTGGCTCAACTACAAAAACCAAACAAGGAACAATAATTTTTATACGTTAAATGTTTCAATCCAAAATTGAAACATTCTTGAAATTAACTTTCAAAATTCGGAACTTGTGAACTCACCGTTTCATTTATGGCAGTAAAGTTTATATTGTCGATTCCAGAGTTTTTGAAGTCATTCAAGCTGCTCTCCATAGATGGCGTCAAAACTTTAAAACTACTTAGATCAATACTAGTAGTGATGTCATTCATCTGCTGGTCAATGTTACCAAGATACTGAAACACGACACAAAAACTTTTGTCAGTATATACTGCTGAAGAACTCTGGGATTAAAAGTACAACTATAAATTTTCTTTTCTTGAATAATCTGACTATAGTGTAGTCACTAGTTGTCTATTGAGTGTATTACCTGACTATGGTTCAAATATATCATCTGACTATTGTTTAGAACATGAAGCATATAATTTAATTAGTTTTCTATAGGTACTATAAAATGTATTACCTGTAGTTTAAGTAGTCCAGCATACAACCTGACTATAGCTTAAGTAGTCTATCCCAGTAACTTACTATTTTAGTTTAAGTAGTCCAGTATATTAGCAGATCATAATTTAAGTAGTCCAGTATGTAACCTGACTAAAGATGTAGATATAGTTTTGGTAGTTGTCAATGGATACTAGTCTATCACCTGACTATAGCTTACGTAGTTGTCAACTGTCAATTAGAACTAGTATACTATCTGGCAATAGATAATGTCCGTGGGAACAAGAATAATACCTGACTATAGTTTAGGTAGTTGTCAACTGTCAATGGTACTAGCATATTACCTAACTATAGTTTAGGTAGTTGGCAATGTATACTAGTGCTTAACTGACTATAGTTTATGTAGTTATCAACTGTCAATGATAACTACTAGTTAACTACTAATACTAGTGTATTTCCTGGCTTTTGTTAAGGTAGTTGTCAATGGGGACTTTTGTATTATTTAACTATAGGTAGTTGTCAACTGTCAATGGGTACTAGTGTATATCCGGGCTTTTGCTAACGTAGTTGTCAAAGTGTACTAGTATAAAACCTGACTATAGATATAGAGTAAGTCTAGGTAGTTGTCAACTGTCAAAAGGTACTAGAGCATTACCTGGCTTTTTTGTCTAAGGTAGTTGTCAATGAGTACTAGTATATAAGCTGACTATAGACATGGAGGTAGTTGTCAGTGGATATTTGTGTATTACCTGACTATAGATTAAGTAGTTGTCAACTGTCAATGAGTACTAGTATATAACCTGACTATAGATATGGAGGTAGTTGTCAGTGGATACTTGTGTATTACCTGACTATAGGTCGATGCCAGCTGTCATGGGTTCTAGTATATTTCCTTGCTTTTGTCAAGGTAGTTGTCAATGAGTACTAGTATATAACCTGACTATAGATATGGAGGTAGTTGTCAGTGGATATTTGTGTATTACCTGACTATAGATTAAGTAGCTGTCAACTGTCAATGTGTACTAGTATATAACCTTAATTAAGTTTAGGTAGTTGTCAGTGGAAACAAGTGTATTACATGTACCTAACTGATAGATAAGGAAGTTGTCATTGAGTATTTATTTAGTATAATACCTGACTGTAGTTAAGGTAGTTGTCAATGGGCACTAATGTATTTAATGAAAGAAGTTCAAAGGGAGCCTTGTTTTGTCTGCATCCTCTGAAATATATAAAACTTTGAAACTCATTGAATTTTCCACGACAATGTATACAAAAATAATAATTTCTTTTATATTTGATTATATTTTTCATAGACCTTAATATAATTAAAAAAAACCTTATTACTTAATACGACTTAAATTTCCTGTTACATGTTAATCAAATAAAATAATTAAAATAAATTTCAGGAAAAAATAGTAATAAAATGCATCAAATGATTCTAAAACAATTAATGTTCAGTTACGTGAATGACATATAGTGGAGTTTCGTTAATCCAAACGCCAAGAATCTGGATAATTTACCTTCCAAACTACATTTGTGGGAACAAATTAATATACTTTTGATACCAAGTAAATTTCAGTAATAAAGAAGCTTCATTTATCCAGACAAGTGTTCGGATTAACGAGACCCAACTGTATAATGCCTGATATATGAAAATATGAGGTCACTCACAGAAGGAGATTGTAGATGCTGATGTTGGCGTTAGGATCATTCAGTAACATGGAACCAAGAGAGAATGATGAAATGGCCCCAGTATCAATAAACTGTTGAATAAAAAAATAGAATGAATGAGATATGAAGAGCAAAACAACAGACCCATGGGCCACAACGCTCATCTGAGTAACTTTGGCCTTGCTGTTTTTCACCAGTTTTCCCTTGTAGTACTTATTGTGGCCCCGCCCAACCCCAGGGGTCGTGATCTGAACAATTAGAATCTACACTACCCCAGGATGCTTCCACTTAAGTTTCAGCTTTTCTGGACCACTGCCTCTTGAGAAAAAGATTTTTAAAGATTATTACTACATATTTCAATGTGAAAATTGGATTCCCTATTGTGCCTCCGCCCTACCCCCTGGGGTCATGATATGAACAATTAGAATCTACACTACCCAGGATGCTTCCACTTAAGTTTCAGCTTTTCTGGACCACTGCCTCTTGAGAAAAAGATTTTTAAAGATTATTACTACATATTTCAATGTAAAACTTGGATTCCCTGTTGTGGCCCCGCCCTATCCCCGGGGGTCATGATTTGAACAATTTAGAATCTACACTACCCCAGGATGCTTCCAAATAAGTTTCAGTCTTTCTGGCCCAGTGGTTCTTGAGAAGAAGATTTTTTTAAAAAAAATTCAACATATTTCAATGTAAAACTTGGATTCTCTATTGTGGCCCCGCCCTACCCCGGGGGTCATGATTTGAACAATTAGAATCTACACTACCCCAGAATGCTTCCACATAAGTTTTAGCTTTTCTGGCCCAGTGGTTCTTGAGAAGAAGATTTTTTAATAATCCCACCCAGTTTTTGTCTTTTCTTGATTATCTCCTCTTTGAAGGGGGCTTGGCCCTTCATTTTAACAATTTTAACTCCCCTTCACTCAAGGATGCTTTGTACCAAGTTTGGTTTAAATTGGCCCTGTGGTTCTTGAGAAGATGTTGAAAATGTGAAAAGTTTACAGACGGACGGACGGACGACAGACAACGGGTGATCAGAAAAGCTCACTTGAACTTTCAGCTCAGGTGAGCTAAAAAGGGTAAAAAAAAAATCAGTTTTGCAATACTAGTATGCATTCCGTGTTTTCTTACATCCTTAAATATGGTCAAATCCAAGAATGTTTGGCAAATCTTCTCAAAATTTGCGCCAATCATAAAAGTAAATGTGGTTAGGAACATCAGAATGGCACCTATCATAAACATGATGGCTACGGTCCTACAAGTGAATTGATTCATAATATTTTCTGTGCAAAACTGAATAAAGGAAAAGTATAGTGATATGCAATAAAATGTTAATTAACACGTCTAATTGACAAAATCAAATAAAAATCAGTAACTTGGATATAAATTAATCTACAGAATAAATCATTTGCAAAATAAAAATAAATGTACTTACAACATTATGAGACAGCCCCCACAACTTGAACAGCAGCCTCGTTCTGTAGGTTTGACATCACTTCCTCCACAGCAACATCCGCAAAATATTCCAATGATATTAAGAACCGGAATCAGGGAAAACAAACCCATTAGACCATATCCAAAATATTGTCTGAAATTGTTATTAATTAAATGTTGTCTTAAAGTAAGTACTGTCATTTATTTTGTTTTTGTTCTTTTTTGTTTGGGTGAGAGAGGTGTGTTGAATCAAGTCCCAGAAATGACTTTACCTGTAGACGTCATACGTAAGAGCAGTCTCGAAAAAACTTTTAGCATCTGATTTGAGTGAAGCAGTGTCAAATGCCTGTAATGGAAGAAAATATTTTATATGTGCTTAAAGTGCCTCTGACAATACATTAAGTTATCTAATGAAATCAATCTTGCGGTTTTAAGCTTCACTTTACTCTGACACGTAGCAATCATCTTCAGTTGGCAGTCGCCTTGACCCTATATGAAGGTTACGTCTTAAAAACAAATGAGGACATTTTCACCTATAGTTAAGACTTTTGAGTATTGCCAACAAACTTGACGTGAAATAAAAATGCGCAAATATATTAAAATCAAAACTTTCTGACAGGTCCCTTCCATGATAAATATTTTGTCTTTGTTTTCTTCATTTTGAATTAAGCGCATTATAGTTACATTGTATTTTGTAACATACATCTGTTCTCTTAATTCTATGTTTTAAAGATTCATTTCTTTTAATTACCCCATTTAGTTGACTCAAGAGATTGTCCACCATTGTATTTAATGTTGATTTAAACGAGTCCATGGTAGATTGTAGAGCTGTAAAATAAAATCTGTATTCAATGTCTAGCATTTAGGATTTATTCTGCAAACACATTGTGTAAGGAAAGATGCATAACAATCGTAAGATTTTTACACAGTTTGATGAAGTGATATTAATTTACTAATTAAGGTGTTATTATGACAGCATCAGTACAACGTGATATTCCTTTTAACAATCTTCCTTTAAATGTTCTAAGATATATGGTACATTGACAATGAACGATTCTTAGAATGTCTTTTAGGTCAAAAGTCAGCTTCAAGGTCAGAAGGTCAGTTACATGAACTTCGAATTTTTTTTATTGTTTTAAATGTACGAAAAAAAATGCCAAATTTCTTTTATACAATGTACTGTGTGACATATAGACAGACAGATAGAGGAAATGTTATACTGTATTATCACCATTGCTGAACTATGATTACTAGTGCAAGAATGGGAAAGAATTCATTTAATTTTGGATAATTTTTCACGTTGGCTGTTATATGCAACATTTAATAACTTACATGACTGGATACTGGACGTTGAGGAATTTATCGTCGATTCCATGTCATCTAGACTTGCTTTCGCCTGGTGAAAAAGCAGTGTAGTGTTTTACTTTCAGCATGCATGTTAAATTGAAAGTGGCCATTATAAAAGTAAAAGGGTAAGCATCGTATTTTTTTTTTATTTTTAAAATAACATTGTTTAAGTTATTTTATATAATTACGAAAGAAATACTCGATGTGCTCAGAAAACTTTATTTTTTACAATGACGTTTGTCTAGATGGTTCCATCTTGTTGTAACATCTGGAAAAAACATTACATAACATCGGGGGGGGGGGGGGGGGGATAAAAAATAATAACACAGTTATGAACTTGCATCTGTACCTGTTTTATTGATGTGATACTGACCGTTAAAGCTAAACCGGTGAGGTTCTGGGACACAACGTTGTCGATTGCCGTCTGAGTGGATGTGAGATCTGGCAACTAAAAGGATAATACTAGACATATTTATACCGGAAAACTAAAAAGTTAAAATAATTGTACAAGTATACAAATATTTTGTATGCACTGTATATTGAGATAATTTTATTTCTATAGTCCTATTTTTGAATTTTTCTCAAAGTATTCCGAGAAAATGTGACGACATACGGAGGAAAAGTCGATCGTCATTGCTAAAGGGGAGGTATCAAAACTGTCACACGCTGTAGATGGTGTACAGAGACCGTTACATGAAGACTTGGTGGAGTCGATGTCATTTTTGAGAGTGGACAGACTGGAAGTCAGAGAATTAGCGGCTGACGTCAGAGCATTCTGGTCTGTAATCACCTGATCCAGCGCTGATTTTATGCTTGTGAGGGCTGTAGTATACAGTGGTAACTATATGATTATGTATTGAATCACATAAAAACTGATTTAACAGAACAGTATACATGTATATGGTGTATAAATTCTAGTTTTCTAAATCCCACAAATGCATTAAGTCGTTCTATTGGATTAACATAAGTTATGAATCATGCTTGTTCGTATTAATCGACGTATTTTTCATCAAAAAGCGACCAAAATAATAATATACTGTAACTTTAATACATTTAAATCGGAAGAACAGTTAAATTGAGATTTCCTTACGTTTGACACAGGTGGAATTTTTTTTTTAAGTTTTCCCCAAAGAATAACACATAATTCGTACGTATTCAAATTAAAACTGTGAACTTTAAAAAAAAAATGTGCCGCTACAATACATCTTTTAAATTTTTTAAAGATTACATAACATTTTTTTTTTCGATTTAATAATTGATTCGTTATACATGTAATTACAGCAATATATTCTGCAATATAAGATGAAACCAAAATATTATAACATATTCATGTGCTTATGCTTTAGCTAAAAATAATATGAAATGTGAAATATACTCACATTGGTCCAGTGAAATAACAGCATTGATCACAGGGTCAATGTCAAGAACACTGAAAATGGCTGACGTTAATACACTCCCTATCCCTGAAATTGAAAAATGCGAGTCAAAAAGTCAAAGTTTGCACTGTATGTCATTGGACAAAGTACATTTGAACTCGCTTAGTATGAATAAAGCAAACAAACTGGACAAAATTTATCGCAAATTATACCTGAAATGTCACGAATGAGAGCATCAGCCACAATACTATACATGTCTACAGCAACGAACTTAAATTGCTGAAAGAAAAGTATGAATGAGACTTCAAATCTGTTTTTCATTGTGTGTGTGTGTTTGTGTGTGTGCAATCGAAACATATTGATTTTCACTATTAAGTACGATTATTAATATGGTATCTTTTTCGTACCATCCCTGTATTGTTGACGTACGACATGATGTCATCAAGATTATCGGCAATACTGGTATCGGCGTACTCCAACGCTACCGTAAAGCGTCCGTTCGTCATGTACACGCAACCCGCAGATGCCCTTAAAGCAAAAGTATATAAAGTCAGTTTTAAGTTCTCTCATTGACTACGACCTGTCTCACGGTCTGAAACTGATGACTTAAATGCTTTATAATTTTATTTATAAAAAAAACAAGATGTTTGATTTCAGGACAAACTTACGCCATAACAACAGACATCAGAAACAGCGCCTGAGCAAGCCCCATTCTTTTACAGCCTTCATTTTCCTCGTACACCTACAGTCAAATTAAATTACATATAGAACACTAAACTGAGTAGTCCCTGTCTTTCGTTTAGTATTATATCGTATTTTTTTTTATTACTGGGAGGCAGTAAAGTATTTTCAGCTGGTAAATTAATGTTATCGTATTGGAAAGAATATGGGCGTACAAGGTGAGGAAAATTCCCCGCTCTAAAACAATATATTTTTCAATTTTCAAAGTTCATAGAAAAGTTTATTCAAAAATATTTCTCAAATATTGTGTGGTCGGTAATGCCATTGTTAACACATTTGATTCATTTGTTTCATTCAATAACTTTTTGATAAATAATTTGTTTTTAAGTTGACAGTTAAGCATAATTATATATATTTAGTGGAAAATGGGTTTATTCCATGTTGTCATAAAAATAATGATTTTTGATTATGAGTGGGTCGGATTGTCTCCATTCTACATAAAGTTTAAATGGCGGAAAAATTAGTTCTATTTTATGTTTCAAAACAATTGGAGTCTGAACCCATTCTATATGAAAATAGAACATTTCTGAGTAAAAATGATACATGTATGCATCAACATCTAAAGCACATTGCTCAGCGTAGTTGTTAACGCGTCTAGCGTATCATATAATATGTAAGTCATACAAGAGAGGATGTTTTTTCACATTCTTGAAAAATAAACTATTTATCAATAAAGTAGTTCAATATATTAAATGGGGCAAAAGATGATAGTGACAGGACAATTTTTGATAAATAAAACTTTTCTATGAACTTTAAAATTGGGAAATATTCAGAGATTGTCCTCGTCTTGAACGCCTCCATTCTTTATATTTCCTGCCAATCGATCAGTTCTACCCAAGAACTGAAGAATTGAATTTTGTTTTTCATAGATATATTATTCGTTTTCTATCTTCCAACCGCAGCCCTGAGTCAAAGTACGACCTCTTGCAAATGACAATCATATCATGACATACATGACTTTGTACATTCTTTAAAAACTATCTCTTAATCAATGAAATAAAGTTCACTTATTGTCGTTGAGGAGTAATAGTAAAATTAAATAGTGCTAAAATAAGGATATAAATCCTACATTATTAATTTTTCTGTGGTTTGAATGAATTAAATGAATATATCTAGATTTAATTATAATTAATGTACTTATTTCAGTTTTGAAAGTTTTGTTAGAGTGAAAATTGATCCTTTTTCAGCCCATAGTAATATTTTTTTTATAATGACCTCCTCTCATGAAATACAAAGATGTATGCCTGGATGGAAAGCACATGTATTTGTCATGCTTTCATGAACTTAAAGCTGAAATACATTTCTTAAAGGAAATTACATGTACAATTTTTTACATGTTTTAAACAGGAGACTGGCATTCAATTCTGTAAAACCAGTCAGTCATCAGTGATGTTTATTAATTTAAAAACAAAACAAAAAATACTACAAATTGTCATTTTAAAAAGAAATTAAGAATATCTACCTGTTTACTATTTCCTCCACAGTTACCACAGCAACGACAACAACAAAAGCAGCAGCCACACAGTGGAAGAAAAACCATAAATAACAGACCAATCACAAAGCAGATTCCGAACCCCATGGCGTAATTTACTAACTGAAATTCAATTAAATATTTTTTGTAACAATTTTAAAAACAAGAATGACTGCTAGCAATCACTTAAATTACTGCATGCAATTTTCTAGAGAGTCATCTTTTGAAATCCTCGTAATGAGTTAGCAATAAAAATATTTATTATTTTGAGACAGTATGATTTATTGATATTTAGTTCAAATATTAATCACTGATTACTCGCTTCCTTAAATTCAATAAAATTGAAGTTATTTTTAATTTCTGTTTATCTGTAATTCATAAAAATACATGTATAGGCGAGGAAATCTAATATGCAAATAAATTACAGACTGGTATATTTTACTATATATGGGTAAAATATATGTCATTTAGTGTCACAATTTATAAGGTACTTTTTTTATATGATGCAAAAAACCAACCTCCATATACTGCGATGAAATATCAAAACTACCATTGAGAACTTGTTTTATCAGTGCTGCAAATTAAAATTTACCAAATATTAGTTTAAAATATATTGAACAAAATAAAATTGAATCTTTAATGGAATATATAATTGTGTGTGTGTTGGGGGGGGGGGGTGCGTGTGAATGTGTGAGGTTGAGGGTGTGTGTGTATATATACTATGTTACGATGGGTGTGAAAATGATTTGACAAACTTTAAATATCTGTAGGAGAATTAGATAAACTATTTATTTAAAAGATAAGTTTGCGTTTAAAAACATAATTCGGTCATATATAAAAGACAGACGCAGTGTCATTATTCTCCGTTTTAGAAATTTTTGCTTTTTAAGTTGTTTGAATTGTATAATGTCATAAATATTATTATTATAGCCAATGAAAGTGAAATACTGCCTTTTTATATGAGCATCTGAAATAAGTAAAATACCTTATGTTGTCCTTCCATATAGAAAAAGAGCTAGCAAAACTGTAACTTACTGAATGGAAACGGATTGGGTTGAATGGTATTAATAAATCCATGAACGAATGCAAACAAAGTTTTCAGAGATCCCTCATCGTAATTATTTGTCGTCTTGTATGGTATACCAGAAGGGACGGAGGCCCAGGATATAGTTCCATTGTCAAATGCTTCATTGCCATAGCTGTCTGTGATGGTACCCGCTAAGGTTAGCGGCAGTACCACCAACAGTACTACCAAGCTGCGGGACATCAGAATTTCTTAAGTTCCTTCAGATACCATGATGAACGAATGTTCGTTGTTCCTTTAGTGCTAGATATGACATGGTGACGTCATATATATTTGGGGTGAGGGGAGTGTGCAGTTTATAGGAATTCCAATTTCTTCTTTTCGTCAAATCCAACTTATGTCCGTGACGACAAATTGGCAGTAATTTTGACTACCTTCATAAGGACATTAATGAAAGATTTTCTGATATATTTTATTTACATGACATTTAAAAATTGTATTTTTTCTGTTTCAGATTCGAAATTTCCTTTTAGCGCCTCTGTGATGTTTTGATAAGTTGTTAAAATTTTTAACTCCTTTTAAAAACATGAACACAGTACAAAACCAACGCCTGAATACCCTAAGCACCACTTCATGCAATGGACTGTCCAAATTGTCTGACCACTAACTTTTTAAGCACTGGTCATTGTAATATTTATCTATGTCCCTTTAATTTAACTTGTGAGGGATTAATTCTTTGTGTCCCTGTGCTTGTGGTAAATACACATTTAGTTATTAGTTTGTGTAATAACTTCTTACAAGTGAGATAGAATTATCTGAATGGCAAATGTATGTGTAGAAAACAAGAAAACAAAATGCTTAAAAATTACACACACACAAAATATTCCCTGAATATCATCATAAATGCTTTTTAAGTCTTTTCAGTTATTGGGAATACACATGTAAATATTATCCAGTGCTAATTTTAGGAAAGATCTTGGTTTTAATCAAGAGCTTACAAGTAACTCCCATCCTCCCCACAGGTACTTGTGGATCCCCCCCCCCCTTTTGCAATATTCAACCCCAAAGCTTGTTGGACTTCTTTCCCACAAATTATCTTAATTACACTAACAGGTATTCATCATGTATACCATGATTAAAATTGGGACCCCCCCCCCCCCCCAAAAAAAAAAAATCGTTCTACACAAAACATACGCCACTAACCAACATAAGAGACATGATGTATATAGTAGGCTATGTTTTGTGTGAAACGATTATTTTGGGAGATTTCCCAATCTTTCTCATTATTATACATGTACATGATAAATAAGTTTAATTGAGATAATTTGTTTAAAAAAAATCCCATCAAGCTCTTGTGTTGAATAGTTGGATAAGGGGGGGGGGGTGTTAACTTTCCTGTCCACAAGTACCTGTGATCATTTCATACAAGTACAAGGAGAAAATAAAATGCATTATTTTTCTTTTTATTAGTTTATTTTGGTTTCAGTTCTGATAGATTAACTCATTCGAATTATCTTTATTTTTTTTTTTTTAATTTAATTTTTTAACGACAATTATGCATTTAATTTGATGTCTGTCATTGCAAATAAACTCTTCATTTTGTTTTTTGTTTTTTAAATGGAACGTTGATCTTATATTGGCATTTTAATTTTTCTTCCTCTGAGCATACACCTGTAATTTACCACCTGGTGAATGTTTACTGTATAACCATCTTTGTTTACGGATTACTGCCTATCAAACCGCTTTTTTCTCGTTCAGAATTATGTATTGTTTGATGTTGATAAGGTCACTTAATTAAATGCGCACTTACTTATAAAGGCATTATATTGCCGCATGCGTTATTAGTCACATTCCTATATTCAGAAAGTCACCACCATTCGTATACACTTCACAGAGAAAAATGACAGTGTGCAGCAAAATTTTACCATGCGTGAAAAAGGATTCCAGTGCATAAAAATAACATGTATGATAATTGTAAAATAAATGGATATTTCTATACATCAAAAGAAAAGCGTGAATTAAGGCATTGATCAAGGACTTTTTATTTGAGTTTGGATTAAATTTACATGTAATTCGTGATTTGACGATAATGGACGCTACATATTTTAATATTTATGAGAGTTATTAGAAAAGTTCGCCATAAACCATAAAACTTTGCAAATAAAAAATATACATATTTTTTTTTAAAAATATGCAAAAGCTTAAAAACATGTTTGTTTTCCGATGATCAATAAAAAATATTTATCTATGACATTCAGATAACATACGCTTCATGGAGCATGCATAATAGTATGTTACTTTTTTGCACGTTTTCCTAATACATAATTACATAGATTTTTTTTGTAAATTAATAAATTGCTCTTGTGAATTAATAATTTTCTCTTAAAAAGCCCCCTCCCCAAAAGAGTTTCAAACCATATTAAGAACAAAACTGAAATTTCACTTTCTGGTTAACCCATGTCATATTTACCATTTTCCCTTCATTTTCGATGACGATGTCTTGCTGTGTTATGCGAAAGAGTTTTCCCCCTTAAAGAATCGCCATTCGGCAAACCTCGGCTGATTCCGTCACCTTCATCAAACCTCGGCTGATTCCGTCACCTTCATCAAACCTCGGCTGTACGAGGAAACTTGATATGCGTCTCCGCTTAACATTTGTGATAAGGCTGCCTGTTTACCGCTTAGGGAAAACGTAACGCTTTGAAAACGATAATAAACATGCATCTGATATACGTTGAAATTTTTCAAAAGCATTTAGGTAACACTAAGAATAACACTTACCAAGAAACAAGGACTTAGTATCTTAAAATAATCACATGTTTATTAAAGAATCGAATTCAGCACACTGTGCACGTGTAAATGTAGGGCGCAGCCATATTGCTTATAAAGTAGCTCCGGTTCAATGGACGTTTACATGATACAGCCGAGGTTTGATGAGGTACGAATCGGCCGAGGTGTGCCGAGTGAAAGAATCGCCTCGGTAAATGGCACAGAATTTAGAGGAAGATTCATAGTTTATCTCTACCCACAACTTTCTTGTACTTTCATTGAGCTCATTTTCGTACGTAAAAAATATTTACAACTTGAAACTTTCGCGTTGTAACGCGAAAAATATATATATTTTATCTACAAAAATGGGCTCAATGGGCTTTCTTAGTAAGAAAAGTCATTTTTTTTTTTTTTTGTAAAATGTCTTTCGTGGTGTAACAGAGATCAATGTGATGCTAAAAGTTCTTTGCATTATAGCGTATAGGCCAGAAAACAAGGCAAAATCCAGTTGCGTAATATCCAGGCAATAAGAGGTGTCACAGGAGTTTATCATCAAGGATGTATAAATCCCCCCCCTCCCCGTGCTTAAAGGCTGCTGTCTTTAAACATTTTGTCCTAAACTTGTAGGCAAACTCTACATTGTAGCAGCAGCTGAAACACTCTAGTCTATTTGAGGCATTTTACTTGCTTAAACACATCGTTTATAACAACTCTATACTCTTAGTGTTCAATGACTTTGTTTTTATGCATTGATCATCAATAATTAGTGATGGCCAGATACTCGAAGTGCAAAACTCACAGGTAGGGTTTTATCAAGGCCTATGCTTTATCAAAGTGGTGATTTTGGTTGTGTCATTGAAAGCGATGGTGGTAATTTTGTTGGTGTCATTGGAGGCAATGGTGGTGATTTTGGTGGTGTCAATGGATATCGTGTTTGGCTTGATACATGTAGATTATACAGTTCTGAATTGATTATCTTAAATCACGTAGCATGGCCGTTGGAACCGGGGGGGGGGGGGGGGGGCACGGGGAAAAACCGAGCTTCTATATGCTTGTGCCCTTTCAATAAAAACGTCAGAAGACTTTTTTTTTTTTTTTTTTTTTGCTTGTCAGGGAATATTTGGTTGATAGTGCCCCCTCAACTGAAAATGTATGGCTGTGCCCCCCCCCCCCCCCAACTGAAATTGCTTCCTACGGGCCTGCGTAGCATACAATAACTTTTAATTATATATCTTTATGTTTGATAATATTATTTTTCTAACAGTTTCAATTATTTTCCCAGATCAAATATTTACGTCGATGTTTTACAAATCCAGGGGTATTTGGTTAACACTTAAAAAAAATCTTGCTATGTTATCTTTAAGGTCAATATCACATTTTGAAATGAAATCTGCCAATTGACCATAATTAAACATGTTTTTAAATAATGAATTTATACATGGGTTTGCAATAGTGGCTTTCTTGTAACTTTTCTGTAGGTTTGTTGTTATTACTGACAAGATTATCTTTTTTTTTTTTTTTTTTTTTCCGCAATACATCCTAATGTCAGGCATTGCAAGATGCCTTTTATTTCTTTATTACAAACAAGTGCGTTGTCTTATCTTGTCCAATGATTTCTTTCTATTCCTACACCAATGCCATATTAAGCTTCAAGACTTAAAAAAAAACAGAAAAAAGACAAAAACAAACAAACAAAAAATCTCATTATTTATTCACAATGTACATGAACGAATATTTCTACTGAATTTCTACGTACACGTGTGCTGCAATATTATGCGTTATCTTTGCACCATATGTATTTCCTTTCCACCAGGAAAGTTATAAGACCGCGGAACATTAACTGGCAAAATTGGAAATATGCAGCTTCCGTCATTTCCATCTGTTGCAGTCAAAACGTTTAATGATGGACAATGAAATGGGCGGGTACAATTTGACACGGACGTCCGAGAAAACATTGGATTGAAATTCTAGTTTGAAATTAATTTTCAATCCACCTCAGATACTCTAGAATGCACGGTGTTACTCAGAAGACAAATAATTTCAATTTCGGAGATAGTTGAAATTGATATAAATCAGAATTTTCTGTCCAGTGTTTTAAAAGAAATATAAAGGAACAAATATTTGATTTCTGTTCGGTATGTGTATGTGTGTGCTGGGGGGGGGGGGGGATCTCGGAAATAAATAAGAAAGTTTTCTTGTAGTTTGGACTACCCCTCCCTGTTTTTGTTTTTCAAACATTTTTCAGTGAAGACAAAACAAAATAAAAAAAGCTCTTGTCATCCTAGAAATAAATATATTCTGTCATGTGAAGGCATGATCTGACTTCACAATTTTTGACTGCCCCCCCCCCCCCTCTAGAATCAAATGACCGTCACCTGAAAAAAATAATCTCTCTCTTCTATTACTTTTACGTGTCCTTAAAACTATAGGTTAAAAACTCATATAAATATGAATTTCAAACAACAGGTATTTGG